CTTCCCGGGTGCCATCAGTGACTGACTCGGGAAAAAAGATACACTCCAGATCACTCTATGGTTTTCAGCAAGCATTATTTAATGCTACTGCCGTAAGCACTTGCCACCCATCACGTTACAGATTATATATTGCCACTATAAACTTGTTCTTAACCACAGATCTCTTGAAGAGGTGCACAGCATGCTTCCAGCTGCTTAAGAGGAGACTCTGAAATACATCAGCAGCATGGCCCTAAGTGAGGCATGGCCATTTGTTTATTCCTGAAAACAGTCATTAAAACCATTAGAAGTGCTGCTTCTACTTAGGTTGAACCGCAGACCTCAAAGCACACTGTAATTGTAAACACAGGGAAACAAGGTCTCCAAATACCACTTACCCTTCTTTGAGCCATGGTGGTTTTGATGGATCAGCCTCATCTTGACCCTTAAATGGGGGAAGGAAAAAGAATAATATGAAATTAATTTCCAAAAACATCACAAAAAGTATTCAGATTATATTCTGGGGAAAGCACTACAGATCACACTGCATGCAGGCATACGCATACAGAAACTTATTCAAGCATCTCCAATGACCAACACGTCAGGACAAGTCATATGGACAGAGACAGGCTATGCAATTTCATTGAACACCAAGAGCCAGGACCAGAAGAGCCTGTTCAGTGCACCTCCTCTTTCAAAAGGCAGTCTTGAAGACCAGGTCTTTTACTTTTCTTTTCCAACCCAAAAGCATGAGTTATTAGAGGGCTCATGTTACTAGAGGTCACAACTTACATGAACATGGTCATAATGAGGATGCTAGAAATCAAAAGCACCTGTATGAAATGCACAAATGAGTGATCAACATTAAACTTTGTACAAACACTTGTGAGCTTTGCTCATACTCAAATGCAAAGACTCTTTAGCCCCCTAAGCAGGGGGGTCCCATTGCAGCTTTACCCATTCATATGCAAGTATTTGATTTCCAACAGGTGTCAAGTAACAGCCATCACTTGCAAGATGATTGCAGGTGAACTGGGATCTCACAGCATGATGGAAAACACCACAGACTGCAATATGAGAATTCATATTCATGAATTAAAAACATGTTCTTATGTTTGTATTAGGAGTGTATTTATAGAGCAATGTTTTGTTTCTTTGAAAATCTTCAGTGAACTGATGAAAGCTGATGAGTGTTTAAACACTTGCAATGTACCTGGCAGAAACAGGAAAGATTTTAGATAAGGGAAAAATGGTTTACCTATAAATGGAAACTTCTTTGTTTCAGCTTACAGTTCATCCATTCTCCTGCACTCCTTGAAAGAAAAGCTGGCTTCCAACAGGAGTTAAGAAAGACATACTGCTAATAGGTAACACTCCAACCTCAGATAATCACGTCTGTAAAGAGTATAAAGAGGCTGAACTTGCCCACAGTGGAAAACAAAGTATTTCCAACTGTGGGACTTGCAACCTGAGAATCACCACAAAGTAAAGGAGTATCTGTCAGGGAGTAAGCTCCATTTTCCTGCAAGATAAAAGAACACAGGCCCCCAATAAATTTCTTTTTTTTTTTTTTTTTGGCCTGTGCTTTGGATGAGCAGTGCAACCTCAGGTTGGTCACAGGTGACACACAAGGTGTCCCAAAAAGATCAGAGATAACCAAAGAAAACAGGTTTCTATTTGAGGCCTCAACTTGTACAGCAGCAAAAGTCCAAACTCTTTATTTGTTATTCCTACAACTCCAGGGCTAGGCAGATCTGAACACTACATAATTTTTATTATTTTATTATTTTATTTTGAAACAGGCATTAAGCACATGACATTATCCATAACTGAATGGCCAGTCCATTTTTCTGTGTGATCACACAGGCCTATGGAACAGGCAGGAGCTCAAACCCACGGTCCAGCACATGTTTACATTTCCCCCACAGCCGGAGCAGTGCACCAGGCTGCTTCAGGAGGGATCATGCTCTTCACATCTCTGCTCCAAGCTGGGCTTCCGGAAGCCCTCAGCCTGAAACCTGCATCTTCTCTGGAGGGATCTGAATCAACTGCTGATCAAGAGAGAAGATTTCTTGAAGCAAATGCAACTAGATCCTTCAGAGCACACAAGGCGGGACATTCCTACCTTTGCCTTTGAGCAGGGGGAAGAGCTGTGGCTAGAAAGCAATCCTAAAATGGAACATTTCATACTGGACTGAGCTTGATACCAGTCAGTTCAGCTGTACAATGACAAAAAATGATAAACACTACGTGGCAACATTTACTGGCAAACGGAATTAGTGTATCACGATTTTCAGTCAGTTTATCTGAGAAACTCAGTATCAAGCGACCAAAATTTGAGACATTAACAGACCACAACAGCATAGGAAATACTGCAGCCTGGAGACCACAAGAGCATCAAGAACTCCATTCAGGGCAGGAAGATCCAGGGAAAGCTGTTATCTAACTGAGCAATAACTATTTCCTACAGGCAAGCGTAAGTCAACAGAGAACAGCCTAGAGTGTGGATGCAGGGAAGAGCAAAAAGCATGATCAGGAAACAAGCCTCCATCATCTCCCAGGTTTTGGTACATGCCAAGCCAAAATGGCTGAGAGCCCCGATAAACTGTATTTCTGCTCACTTATTTTAATTACTTTTGCCAAGCCTTGTAGACATGCAAATAAAAATAAAACAAGAGAAGAGAAAGAGCTTCTCTAGGGTCAAGATTAAAAATTGCCTTGGTAAAACAGCACAAAATGAAAGAGCAACCTTTCAGTAAAGGACAATATTGATGCAGGTACAAGGCAGGTGATGGCCACGTGGAAACAGGAGTTATCACCTGCTGAAAGCATAGTAAAGCGGGAATTTGCTCCAGGCAGCATTGTCTCTGAGAAAATGCCTACAGAACCAGCACATGACATCCATCAAATGATGGCTGATGCCTCAGACTGCAGAGGAGCTAATGCAGGGCTCACAGTTAAGGTGTGTAAGGGGAGGAGGGAAATGTGTTCTAGACTGGTGTAGGCTCATTATTGGTTTCAACAGCTTGAATGGCTTTACAGCAAATATGAAGGAAAAAATTAATATGAAGGCAATCAGTAAACAAAAAAAAATATAATACAGGGCACACCAGTTCTGAAATTTTTTTCCAAAGCAAACAATTTTTTAAGACCATAAAAAGCATTATCAACTGATTTTCTTATTTCAACAAAAAACTTTTGATTCAATGCCATATGATGATAAGACCAGATAAGCTAAGAAGGAGTCAGGAGCTTTAAGGTGGGTAAACAAGTAACTGTCACTGAGCCAGCCACAGAGAACACAATAAGGAAGCTAGTGGGAGTAAGTAGAAGCTGCTGATAAAACCTGCCAATGACAAACACCAGAAAATTATTGATACAGAACTCAGGTACCCAATGGAAAGAACTGCTGGCAGTGAAGATTGCAACAACAGAGGATAAACATGGTACAAATGGCAAGGTCAGAGCCCCAAAGCCTGCTATGAATTTGACTGCATACAAGGCATTCCTCAGTGGAGAAAAGCACGTGACAACAGATGAGAGTTCTAGCCATCACAGTGGCCCTGAGCCACTATGGTACAGCCACCTAAGGAGATAACAACATCCATAGAGCATGCCCAGTGAAATGTCTCCATAGAAATAAAAGCATAAATACCAGGGTACTGTGCTGGCAAGACTCCTTCAGAAAGGCATATAGTCTTTTTGTTCTATATCAAAGTAATAACAGTTCACATAGGAAAATGGTAAAATGCAGCATGAGGATGTAAACACAGTAACAGAGGAGGAGAATGGGACAGCTTGTTTACTCTAACAAAAAGAACCTTTTTCTGTGCTTATTCAATAGACAAGAGAACATACTGCATGGAAGAACGACTGTGGCTAAACATAAACGGAGGATGAAAATTCAAAGGTGTCTAACCATAACAGTTCTGTAGTAGACTTTCAGAAGAAAAGGGAGACACCAAACCAGTTTTAAAGAAGGAAATTGGGCATTTTCTATATGAGGTAATGGCACAATATCACACAGTGGCAGAGACCTGGCAGTCACCAAGAAGACCTCGGCAGTCCCCTGTTACACTGACCTATGTAGTCAAAGAACCAGGGGCTGCATCACCTACAAGTGTTGTCATGATGGTTAACAGGGTCCAGACACCTCTGGGACTGCCAGTTAAAGAAATACACAGTTTACACCACCGTTGTAGGTGGGAACACTTCATAGATTCCACTTCATTTAACGAAGGCAAGTGGCAATGCTGTTTAGGTGGATTTGCTGGGAAGTTTCCCCTCTCTCTGAAGGCAGCACTTGCACCAGGACACAGGAGAGCTCCAGTAGCTGCTCTGGGTCTTGTCAGCAGCCATGGATCTGCTCAAGTTCAGCCCATGGTGACAGCCTGGGCAAGCAGAGGAAACGACAGGCAGATAAGAACAACACTGGGATAACTGTGAGAGTTTTTAGCCCTGTCTTCCCAAAACAGATGGGTGAGCAAAGGGAAAGTAGACGCATTTAACACCTAGTCATGCACATGCTGCACATCACAGAAAGTCTTTGCTGGCTTTTGCTTCACTTCTCTGCACAGCTGTGCCACTTAATTTGTCCTTGAAAACAGCCAGACCAGTCTGAATCTGATTTTTTTTTTCCAAATCTCCAGTAAGCACATAAAGCAGCATTAAAAAGATGGAGAACCAAACATGTAAACAAAACAGCCCATCACATCTATGTTCTTTTTTTTTTATTATTTCTGATGCTGATGGATGACAGTTAACACCTACTGTCCAGCAAATACCTTCGCCTGGGGAAAGGCTTATTACCCTAGTAATTACCCAGCACATTCACTCATAGTAAAGCATTCTGAAATCAGCTGCTGAAAGGTCTTCTCCAAGTAAAGTTTCTTATTGACCAAGAACCAGTTAGCAAAATAATAATGCCAGTGACAGGGTAGCATAAATTTAATACCCTGGATTAAACAAGTCAATAGACATGATTATTTAAGGCACAGTATTTAGTCATAGGGAAGGCAGTGTTTAGTGAAGTCTAAAAATGAAACTAACAGGAGTTTTGCTTATTCAGGAAAAGCAGCAGCTAGTCCCACAAGTAATTTGAAAAATAATTTAACAAAGCTGCAATTCCAAAATTTTGCAATTTATTTCATATCCAAGAAGATGTTTCAACGGACAGAAAAATTACATACTTCTCTAGAAGAGAAAGTCCATAAAATGGGCAGAGAGGCATTAAAAAAATCACCAAGGCTGGAACAGCAGAAAGGAAAGGGAAAAACATCCCCAAAACTGTTAGCCCTTTCCATATAAATCCATTTCTCCACATGAAAGGCTTTCAACAAAGTAACTTTCTATCATATTTCAGTACTGTCTAGCACATTATCTTCTTAGTTAAAAACAAATGTAAAACATGAAAAGCTTCTTTATTTGAACAGATAAGAAAAAACC